CACTAATAAAGGTCTGGGCTGCAAAAAATAGAAATGGCTACTATTATACTGTGGTGTGTCATGAACATCAAAAGCTTCAGTTTAAGTATAGCCTTTATTCCTCTGCTTCACAATTTTGCAATTACATCGACATGATGTCTGCATTTCTGCCATTCCCCAATCCAGGCACTTCAACCTCTGAGAAAGTTTTCAGAATAAATTAATACTAACATTTCTCTTCCCTTTTCTCTTTCACCCTTACCTACAGCCTGATCTCTCACTCTGCATACAGAAGGAGCAGTTTCACAGCTGATATATAACTTTTTCTAAATATGGCTCTCTGACACTTTAAAACTATTTCTTGTTATGAGCTTGCACAATTAAATTGTCATTAGATATTTTTATTATAGAGTCTTTTGCAATAAATAAAGAACATGAAAAATAAAGGGGGTCTTTCTTGTCCAAAAATTACGGGATTAAAATATGATTTATATCATTTTACAAAAGCAGGTCACCTCTTCACGCAAAAAAAAAAAAAAATTCCTAGGTATTCAAAACCAGAAAAATCTTCTGCCCTCAAATAGAATCTTCCTTCAAATGAGCATGCTCGTATTACAGAGAATCACACACTTGCACATTCAAGGATGGCACCACAGATTTCTGACAGTATATATTCTCCTGGCTGTGACTCATCCCTTCACTCAAGGGATTCTTGGAAGAATATGCAGAAACTCACACATTTTCCAATGACGAATCCAACTCTAGTGACTGTGAGCTTTCCCTTAATAATTGTCCTGAAAGCACTTTGCATCTGAGAAAGAATGGAATATCCATAACGGATCAGCTTCCTGGATATTTACACCTCACCACCTGCTTGCTCTACAAGCTTAAATATCATAACTTTGGGCCCTAATTTATTCATGTGCATATAAATGCTGTACCACAATTTGGGAGGTCTCATTTGGAAGTTCTGGAATGTCCTCTCAGACAGCAAACCCCAGGTTACACAGCCATGTGTCTTAGCAGAGTCCTGGCAAATCCTGCCCTCCCTTGGCCACCTCTCCCTTCCCCTCTGCCTGTCACTGCTGTCCCAGTGTGCACAACACCCCTCCAGTGTGGCCAGCCTGGGACAGTCTGAGGTGGGGAGAACCAGCTCCCGGTGTGTGTGAGCCAAGGGCACCCATCCAGGCACAAACACAGTTGTAAAGGTTAAACCCACAATAAAAATACCCAGCAGAACCAAAAGGAGGCAACGCACTGCAACAGACCATGCTGGTAAGTCACAGCTTCAGTTACCCACCCAATCAGGGGTTCATTTCTGCAAGAAAAGGGTCCATTACAGATAAAACAAGAAATTCCTCTGTACAAGGAAACCAAACTTTCCCTCTGTCGAGCAAAAATAAGTTCATTCTCTCAAATGCCTGTCTGGGTAGACAGGTGAGACTAACCTTGGAATTTAACTGCTTAACACTGGGCAGTGAAGACATCACCTCAAACTTATGTCATGCACAATCAGAAATACAGTGCCTCTTGATCTACTGTTGAAATAGCATATCCTTCTCTAAAGGATGCAACCAACCTGTGTTATTTCATTTAGGGGGAAATACAGAGGTTTCTGTCCAGGTCCTTTCTGTTAGAAATTCCTTTTGTATATGGCAACTCCAGTCTCTCAAAAGGTCAATGTAAAATCTCCAGTACTTGGACACTGTGTGATCTGGTCCACACAATAAAGACAAAGATTGTTTAAACTGGATTTCCTACCCTTTGTAAATCCTCACTTCTTAACACACCAAAGACCTGGATGTAGGAAGTTTTCGGAAGTTTCTCATCCAAAGAAACACATCTGCACTGAGCAGGAACGAGCCTTAATTTTAGCAACTCTTTCACTCTATTCTAAACAGATATGCTGGCAGGTTTCCAACAAAAGGGGCCTTTGCATGAGAGATCCAATTTAAAATACACAGCAGTGCCACTTTTGGGCCCATAGGGCTGTCTAAATATTTATAGAAATATAGCTAATCCTACATATCTTCCTTGCCCTGGTCAATTTATTCCAGAATAAGAATAGCTACCTTTTTGTTATTGTGAGACTTAACTTAAATCACTCCCAAAATAATATCAACCAAATTTGATAAAGATCATTGTAGTAATTATAACCAACTCTGGTTTAAAGGAATTTAAGTGTTCTTCAAACATTTACAGTCCATCAGCAAGAAAATTGGCCCTATGACATCCAAAATTCCCAACACTACATAGGGCAGTTCAGGAGAGAAAAAAAAATTCATTTTTTTTCCTGCTTTCCAAAGGGAGACTATTAAAATAAAGTATAAAAGTTGGACTCCATCTTCACTATTAGCAGCCTATTTTTGTGTCCCAAAGTTAAAGAACTCTCCTCACTATCTGATTTAGAAACACAAACCCACAGCAGATGCAAACATTGAGTTTTCTGCCTTCTGTAAAAAGCAGTTGCCAAACTTGAGTTAAAATAGCACACACGGAACAGGAAACCATCTTAACTTTGCCACTTGTACTGAATATTAATTCTTTTTGGACTGGCACACACACAAATAGCAACCATTAAGATCACCTCATGAATATTAGGTTTTGTACAGCGTAAGTTAATATAATATTTGAGATTCTCTACCCTCAACCGCTCAAAAAAAAAACCCAAAAAAACAAAATATGTGGGTTTTATTTGTCACAAAGCCAACACAATCCACCAGCATGTATTTGGGGTCATTCATATATTCATGTATATTCAAGAGGCTGCTCTATTCGATTATCGAATAGGAAAGCTTCAAATCCATCACTTTTCCACTTTTCAAACAAAAATAAAGCCTGAGTCTCAGTCAAAAGAAGCAACATACAAATAACTAACTAACTAAATAAAATAGTTCCTTCCTCTTCAGCAAAAACACTGTCAGCAAGCTAAAACTGCAGTGACTTTCACTTCTAGTACACCAGATACGGTTCATGGTGAGTTGGAATAACTGTTCGTATCATTTTCTGGAACAATACCTGCAAAATACAGTTTGTTGGGGCAGATTCATTGCTTTTTAAGACAATAAAACAATATTTTGCTTATTTGTGCTTTAGACTAGGGACATATTTTCAGACCTAAAGTTCCCATCGTTATACACATCACTGAAGCGTTGCTCAATTAAAAAAACTGCTACAGCGCTACAATTTTTGTGGAGAGGCAGATAGCCTTTGGCTAAGTCACAGGCCTGGAGTAATATTCCCTGTTCTAGCAATGGCTACCTGGGGATCTGGAAGCCAAGTCATTACCCTGCTGGATCACCCAGGTTTAAGAGTCAAATTACAATATTCACCTTCTTTTAAAAGCATCAAAATCCACACATAAAGCAAACGAGTTAATTTATTACCAAAAACACACAGCACCCCCAGAAAGCTTGGATAAAAGTGATTAAAAGACAGGACGGAAAAAGTTGACCCCAACATCTGCAATGCACAGTCTGTTCAGCTTTAAATTTGTCCCCTGTGGGCAAATGGCTACAACAAGACTTCAACACACAGTCAGAGATTGGCCAGAAGACTCTGAGGTCACCTTCCCTCACTGAAGTGGTTATTTGCTGCTATGTTTTAATCTTATTGCTCTGTGTGCAAACCCCAGGCTTTATTTGCTAAACAATATTCAAGCACTGCTCTCATAACTGAATTCTACATGCCCTCTCAGGACTACTTTTTTGGCACAGTACCAGCAATACACTTGTACTTGCATTCACACACATCATTGTAGGAAAAGATAATTACCCTCATTTGTCATGTAAGAAACTGGGGCAATAAAATATTGTGATCCAGAGTGCCTGTTAACTGAGTGTCCAGATCTGTTTGCTTTTCCCCAGAATATTGAATAAAACCATATTTTCACCATTAGTGATAAAAAAATCCTCCCAGACAACCAGACTTTATTTCCACTATCCAGTGGAAATATTTCCACATATCCAGTTGCAGGTCCAGTCGCCACAAGGAATGAGACAGGAATCAATAGAAACAGCAGCACAGATTTAACACTTTTGTGTCAGGAGCATGAAGAAAAACTGCTCAGACAATCCCAAAATCATGCAAATTCTCAGTGCCTCTCTTTGCAACCTTACAGACTAATGTAAGACTAATGCATTTACCAAAAAAAACAAAATCTTCTAAAAATCCACACCTCAACAAACCAATAACTGATTCTGGGATTTCAGACATACTATTCAATTCCTTTATTGAGGACAAACACTACATAGCAGCTGTAGAGTAAAATCATGCTCACAATATTTTTTTACAAGTTACTATATAATCATATGCAAGCACTGCAATTGCACTGCACCACCCTGAGCTACACAAATCACAGAAAGCCCAGGCTGAGCTTTCCTGGCATCAGTTGTGTTCATAAGAACTGAGGACTAGTCTTACTTTATTCTTTTATTCTAGTTTTTGCAGCACTATCTAGCCTTACATTCCCCTTCTATTCCCCAACATTGTTATAAATAGTGGGTTTAGTCAGTTTCCATATCAACTCAAGAGACAACACCAACTCAGGGCCTTGAAACCACCTCATATCTCACAGCTTCATCCTCCTAAGTCATTGGTACTTTACAGTAATGGTCCTAAATAATGACTTCCATCCTGAGACAGAAAATTGCCCCAAAAAAACCAAAATGTGAATTCAGTTTCCTTGTATTTGAAGGTGTTTGGTTAGTTTTTTGGTTTTTTTTTGGAGAGAAGTAGTAAAGAATAATTACTCATTTGAATTTGTAAGACATAATGATGGAAAACAGTCTGTCATATTCAAAGATGAAACTTTGAGAACAAGACTAAGGATAAAAGCATGTTAATCATATTTAAGTAGTTTCTTCATCTACATTACAACAATTCAAAGTATCTCAGCAAATTTCCAAACTCTTTCAGCCAAAATCTTCATCATGTTAATAAAAGGCTTGTTAAGTTACTATTTGACAAGTAAATCAATTTATTAGTAACTCCAGGTTCAGGTACACATTATAAATACTCACAGAAACCTTCAATCTTGTCAGCTGTCTTGCTCCATGCTACCTGCCTGGTTTCCATTATGACTTGAATAGTCCTCCTTTCTGGGCTACCCTTCTTAAGACTGAATATTGTCATAACAGTTCCCAATTCCAAGGTCCTTTTAATCTGGCTCTTCTCATACTCAGGCAGCAGTCCATAGTCTACGTTCTTTCTCGGCATTTTTTCTTCTTAATCAAACTTTTATGGTCTTCAGTGTCCTAAAGAGAAAAAATATAAGGAAGGGAGAAAAATCAATATTTAAAAGAGCATTTTCATTTCTTTAAAGAACACATTTATGTAGCCAGATGCCTAACAGAGACTCCTGCCCATGCAAATGCAAGGCAGGTACATGGCCAACATTAACGCTTGCTGGTTTATCCTGAAAGAAGGCACAAAGAGCCTTCACAGAGGGCAGTTCCAGCAACACCAGCTTGTGTAAACTCTTGTACTGTATTAAAATATAAACCTGGATGAGACCTACATGAGACTGTAAAGCAGGTAAATTTTGAGAACTGTAAGGAAGGGAAAACATGAGTAATATAAACACTGAGGCGCTGGCAACATCTAAACATCAATTTTGCACTTTCAAAACTTCATGGTTCTGTTTCTCCTACACAGTCTGCCTTTCCTTACCCACATGTTGGGTGGCAGGTATTTGTGTGCATGCACTTGGAACATATCTTGGTACAAAACAGCCAAAGGAGGGATGTGTACAGAGCATATCTCACAAATGATAGCAAGTTTCTTTGCTCTCCGGTCTCCCACATCCCACATTAGCATCAAACAGCTAATTACAAGCTTGCCTACTCCTCAGTGAGATTATTTACAAAGAGGATGGTCTGCAATCTGCTCTTTCACCCATGGACGAGTATCATCATCACACAAGTCACAGGGGCTGCTGTGACACAGCTCCCAGCCATCCCCCTTAACCCCATCCCTGAGCAGGACAGGTTTAAAGAAGCTCTGTGCATGCAGCCACCAGCCAAGGCGTCTCCTCTGCTTCTCTTCCTCTCTCCTCAGACCACTGCTCTCCATCACAAGCAGTTTCATTTTCTGTGTTCATGGCTAATTCGACCGTGGCACTTCTCGCTTCCCCTTCCTAACTTCTGCCAGCCCTCATCCCCTCAGCCCGTGTCACTGTCTCCTGACTGCTCTTCACTGCTCCCTCTCATTAACAGCACTCGATTGCCATTGAACATCGTGTCACCAGCTGCTTTAGGAGCCATCTCTCTGACTTTGAAGCTGTCCGGTGCAATCTTTCAAATCTCTTTTTGAATTCTACCACTTCAATAAACACTTTTTGTTTTTTTGAAAGTTAACAGAGAAGCCACAAGAGTCCCTTCTTACCTCTATACTGCCAACCGTGAGCTTGAAGTGCACTGCAACAGGAACAACTCCGTGGTTTGCAAAATATTATATACATTATTTAGTGTTCTATATTGGCTTGTTACCGTAATAAAGAAAATGGAGTGTTCTTTCCTTATACTACTGAAAAAAATTATGGTTCCCAATCCTACAACTGGGAGGGAGTGAACAACTTTGAAGTATTGTAAGCAACAGCAGATTTATTATTTTTTGGCCATAATCCTTGATGATCCTTTTAGACTACCTGAAGATAATCAGATAATCATTTAAATTATGACAGGCCTGAACCTAAAAAGACAGTCATCTTGCTACAATGATTTGTTAAAATATGAAATCAAAGGAGGAAAAAATAAAAAATTAAATTAAAATCTTCGAACAGTGTCTGTTTTCTGACAAAAAAAAAAAAAGGAACCCTGTCTTCTCACTTTGCTCTTTTCATTAAAAATCATAATAAAACATACATGCTGTGATCTGGGACAACGTTTAAGCATTTGTGCAACATTACACTGAATAATAAAAAACTGAACTTTTAAAAGAGTACAGTTTTTCAAGAGATGATAAAAAAATATACATCAACTCCGCCTTTTACAGTACAAGGTATAGCTGTTACAGGAAATATGATTTAGAAAAAGAAAATAAGTTTCTAAATGCAGCTATTTAATAAAGGGCAATGCAGCAGGTTTTTTGAGAGATAACTCCCTTAGTACAAAGGAACTGCCTCTCAGAGGTGGCTTCTTAAACAGTTTCTGCTGAATATAATATACTGGACTTCCCCTTTTAAAGGAGCTCTTTCTCCTGAAACTAGAGAAAACAGTGGATTTAATCTAATTTCAAGTGAAGTTTTAAGCCAAGTTTTTGACTTAAGGTGGAAAGAATATTGCAATATTTGATCAACGTAACTGACCACTGTTTTGGCTACCTGCTCCAGTTTAAGAGTAGCATCACAGAGAGCTGCCTAATAGTAAAAGAACTAACAGAAGCCCTTGGCATTAGAACCTCAAACATCAGGAGCTGTCTTACCCACAGGTGCCCCTCAGCCTTCCTTGCACCCATCACTGCACAACCGTTTTGAATAAACAATCTTTCTACCCATTCATGCAGCAGAATTCTGTGATGACCTTCACCACCCCATTACCTGGATGCTTCTAACCCGGTAGAGTGTGAAATACAAGATGCTGTGTGTAACAGAAGCATCACCGCTCTTCCGCTGAGAAGTTACTTAAGCCTGCGTTGGAAAGATCTAGCATCACTTACAGGACTCAGAAAGAGAGTTAATAATCATCAAAACATGCCACAAGATCTAGCTTAGACACAGACATGACTCTTTCCCTTTGACTGTAGGAATTACAGGAGCTAAATTTTGAAGGCGTTCTGTACCATATGAAAAACTTGGATCACTTGTTACTGTTTGTGTAAGACATGTTTTGATAGGTTTTAATTGAAAAGCCTGATATGGACTAAAAAGTCTAAAAGATACCCTGCAAGTGACTAAGTGAATATGGACATAAAAAAACCCCAAACAACCAAATCCTATTTAATCTATCCTGTCTACTTAGTTTTACTTCATCTACTTCAGACTTTAACAAACAAACCCTTCTTAGCAGAACATCAGTGTACAGCTTGTAACTCTCTTCATGATAACACAGAGAGGAAAAACTAGAAAGTTATAAATGTATCAGCTAGTGAAGAATATCTCAGATAACCACTGATGAATCCATAGTCTGTTATAATTTCACTCATATGACACAGCAGGTGCTTTCCAGACACAGAAAGTTAATCAAGAAGTGCAGTCCAAAGTTTGCCACCAGCCAATTTCTAAATTTTTCCATGTGCTCTGGGCATTGCAAAAGGTTTGTTGCATCCTCTGCCCAGAGCTGTGCCTTTGGATTTAGGACATCACCTCACCAGATGGATACCCACCAGTGACACCAGGGCAGTACCACAGCACTAATAATGAATAACAACTGATGCACGGCCCTTGCGATGCAGCTGCTGCCCGCAGAGTCTGGGCCGGGCGGGGAGAGCAGGGGAGCGGAACCACGGCAAGACGGTGCCCACCTGCCCCAGGCAGGCAGGGCCCTCAGCCCGGGCAGGGCCATGGCGCTGTCAGGCACTGCCACACTGCCAAGGTTTCCTTCCTTCTTCTCCGTCAGGCTGGGCTGCGGCTGGGCCCGGCCGGACACAAGGTGCGGTGTGGCAGGGTCACCTCAGGGAACCCCTGGACTCCTTCATCCCCTCCAGCCCAAGTGCTCGCGGCCCCCTGGCACGACGGCCCCTCACCCTTCGCTGCCCCCCGGCCCGACCCCCGACCCCGCG